CTGAAGTAACCTGATCTAGAGGGGATGACCTCCAATTTACCATTCTAAATCCAAGGTATGTAGATGGCATAAAACTCAGTGATAAGCAGGTAATATAATACCCCAACACTTATGCTTATTGATAACAATGTAGCAACATAACAATAATATCATGAATAATAATTGACAGGAAGGTAAAAGATACGTACCCCATCATTCCGTGCTACTCAAATCCTTGTTGATATCAACCGGAAAACTCGGCTCCGAGCCGTGGGCGCCCTTGCCCGACCCTGATGTCTTCTGGTGGTTCTCGAAGTTCCAGGAGCAGGAGCTGGCACCTGCCCTGCTGTATACAAACTCGGACAATGGGCCTTCTTTTGGCCCCTCTGACTACAATGGAAACATATTAGATCAAGCCCCTGAGCGATGGTAACAATACAATCTCTGCTAAAATGGCCAATCCGGCCGCACTTGAAACATCCAGCATCACCACCACTTCTACGCCTGCACGTACCCTCATGTGTCCTACCACACTTCCCGCATCGGTTGTGGCTCTGATAGTCCCTCGATCTCGAATCCGACCCCTTAGGCCTCTTGCCTGAACCTGCGGCTACCTGAGACTCACCCGTTTTCCTTTTCATTTCCGACTCTCACTCATGCGTTACCTTGTCGACCCATTCCATCGACTGAACAACTGATGTATGATGCTGGAGCTTCGCGGTCAACTTACCAGTGACCCATCCAACGATGTTGGGCAGCTCCTCGCGAATGGCTCGCACAACCTCCTTGACTCTCCAATCATGCAGAGGTCTCTCCTAGAGATAGGGTGCCCCGCTCACTCCCATCCCCTGATGGCAAGAGCTAAAAAATGGGATCCCCCTCCCTGATGTATCCCTGAAATCCATAAGAATCGGGCTCTAGACGAGCCCCAAACTGCCCTGAAACTATCCCGACCCTAAAGGCCTCAAGACAGCTATCCAAAAGCTCCATAATGGCCTCTCTAGCTGAACCAAATATCACGGGAGTCTGATCAATGATGTTGTGCATAATCTCTACAGAAATAACATCTCTCATCTGATCATCAAACTGTCCGGCTCTAGAGCCTAAGCCAGATCCTTCCCCGGCACCTGAAATGTCAACTGATATCTCACGCAACATCACCATGCTGGAAGCACATCACAAATCTGATCAATATACATACCGCTGCTGAGGGATCTTTCACACACTTTACTAGTTCCCTGGTTTTGCCTCGACCCCTCTTGAATCCAGTACGGATCCTCTGCTTTCAGTAGTAGGGTCAAATCTGGTACTCTGAGTTTATCCAATCCTGACCACATGTGATGTGATGTATTCACCTAATGGCTAACTCCCATCACTCAGAGTCCCACTAAGCACAAAGCAAGCAACATTCGGATAAAGGAAACATACTCATGCAAACTATTCTCAAGAAATTGTACTAGCATACAATGTTGAACTCATACAATCCGACATAACCTAAATAGGCTATCCTACTGCTATCTACTCAATACTAGCATGCAATTCTCATAAGGCTAAAACACATAAGCAGGCACATAAGGCATCCTCCTAGATCCTTAGTCCTATACTAGCATGCTGTTCTACTGAAACTGAAACTGGAACTAAAACTGAAACTGAATCTGATAATCATAAACTTGTATGGGTAATTTGGGAGTACTTGAGATCGGCTGATTGCATGCACCACACCCTTTTTCTCTTTTCAAGTTATTTTCTTTCTAAATATTCTTTTCGCTTTTTCTAAAACTCTTTTCTTTTCTCAACTCCTTTTTACCAAAAATTCCTTTCGAAAGTGTTTTTTCTTTTGAAAACCTTTTACCGTTTCCTTAGTTTGAGTCCAGACACACTCTCAAGTATGTCTGAATCCCTCAAATCAAGGCTCTGATAACAATTTGTAACTACCCAAAAATCACGACTAAAAATTTATTTTAAAACATTACTAAAACCATATTTGTAAAACCGTATCATAAGTCATAACAAAATTTTCGAGTATTAATTCAAAACATAATCTCATTATCAGAGTAAAACATTCCCAGGCTAACTGCCTATGGTTTGTGCATTGCAACCTCTCCGAGCTCCTCTTTTGAAAACTGAGTACCTGAAACCAAAACTGAAAACCATAAGCACGAAGCTTAGCGAGCTCCTCCAAACTACCACATACCATACAATAACATATAAAGCACATACTGGGCCTTGCCTACAGCATCGGACCGAGGTCCGAACTAACTGGGACCTTATCCCCTGCATCGGACCGAAGTCCGGACTATCTGGGGCCTTGCCCCCTGCATCGGACCGCAGTCCGAAAACTGAGTGGAACCTTGTCCCGTGTATCGGACCGAAGTCAGGACTAACTGGGGCCTTGCCCCCTGCATCGAACTAAAGTCCGGAAGCTGACTGAACAAAGCATAACGTAAACATATCAACTAGCATGGACACACATATACTGCATACTGCATCGTGCCATAGCCCGAAACACATAACACATAAATCTTGTCTGAGCCACGAAGGCATCAAACATACTAACTACTGCATCAGACTGAAGTTCGAAAACTACTGCTATCTAAATGGGCCGACATTGTGGCCTTAGACCCGTTCCTACTGGAAGGAAACTCACCTAAACTCCTGAGCTCTGCTGATACCCTCTAGCTGCTAACCGACAACCTTCTGAGCCGCTGCTCCTCTAGTTCTCTGAACTACCAATATCAAAATGATACTTAGTCTGACAGCCCTTGAAAAGTCAACTAATTTAACTCTGGTTAAAGTCAAAGTCCTGGTCACAGTCAACCTTCTAGGTTGACCCTACTCGCCGAGTCAACCTACTGACCGAGTTCATAAGATCTAAAATCCCTTTCATTCGCGACTCGACTCGCCGAGTCAGACCATGACTCGCCGAGTCTATTGATTTCTAAGTCCTGACCTGTCCACTCACTGGGTCCCCACTCAACTCACTGATCCGAGTCTTAACTCCAAGGGTTTGGGGTTTCGCGACTTGACTCACTGAGTCCACGAACAGACTTGCCAAGTCCAAGAACAGACTCGCTGAGTCCATGGCAATCTTCAACAAACTCGCCGAGTTGTTCTTCCAACTCGTCGAGTTGCTGCCTAACTTCATCCAACTCGCCGAGTACACCCATGTGACTCGCCGATTCTTTTCATTTCTTAATCCATACAGTGGATTTTCGAGCTATGCAGGGGCTCAAATCCATAGATCCATTCCTCTAGAGCCTAACCCCTACGTAAAGTGGCAAAATTTACGTGTAACCAAGGAATTATAGGCTTAGAACACTCTAGGGATAGGGTTTGTAACAAAGGGGCTTCACCAACAACTTATTGGCCTAAACTTTATGACTTTCTAGGTTATTACCAACCTAGATCTGAGGTAGCAACCTCAGATCTACTATAAACTCGAAATAGATCTCATCCATACTTAAAATGTCCAAAACTCAAACATAAGATAGATCTAAATGCACATAAGCCCAAACAACAGACTATTACCTCAAATGAAAGCTCCAACTGAAGTAAATCTCGGATCTATACCACTTTGATCTTCAAGCCCTCTCCAAGATTCTCTCCTCCAAGGCTCTATTCTCTCAAATAATGAAGGCTCACTCAATTCTAGGGTTTCTGGAACTCAAAAGAGAAGCAAAGAGGCTGAGGGTGGGTTATAATGTGCTTTATGTAGGGCACAACCTTTGGGATTAGGGTTTTTCTCGCCCAGACCAGACTCGCTGAGTTAGTCACTTACACGATGACCCGGATCCCGCTCCGACTCCTCGAGTTCCTCCCTGGACTCGACGAGTTGAATCTTGATTTAGAGCTTAACCTTTTTTTCTTGGTCTTCCTGATTCTGCATGTTACAAGTAGAGGTGGGTTAATATGGTCCTTTATTATTTTTGCAGAGAGAGAGAGAGAGAGAAAGAGAGAGAGAGAGAGAGAGAGGGACCCCTTGCATATTAAATATTATTTATTTAACAAAAAATGTAATTGAATACCTCTTAAATGGTCTATGTGTAGTGAAATGATAAATCCGTGAGGTTTTTGTAAATTAGGGACCAAACTTGATATTTTCAAAAACCACAGGGACCATTTTTGAAGTTTTGTCTAATTACAATGTATTCACATTTGAACGCCTTCAAACATTGATAAGAATACATTGCTTATGAAAATAAGTGATTTTCTTGGAAAACACACGAACTTTGGAATGGTATACATTTTCTCAAAACCGCTTATGAACTTACCAACTTAATTGTTGACACTTTTTCTCTGAAATAACTTGTATTCTCAGGGAACCGCTAAGTAGGTTTGGAAACCAACTTTTGGGGATTAACGCTCTGGCGTTAATTACTTCTTTTGAAAGATGTTTATGTATTTATCTTTTGAACATGTAACAAATACAATTATGTAAACATTGTGAAATCTTTATATATATATCACTGATAGAGGACGCGCATTTGTGCGTGCCCTAAAATTTAATGTCAGTTTTCCAAAATCTGAAGGATGGAAGACACGCATTTTGGGCGCGCCCCAAAATTAGTGTCCAACAAAAAAAACACGGAGGGCACCTATCATAAAAGGCGTGTCGTGTGTAAATATGTTGTTTTATATTTTTTTAGAAAGGCACGTTCTCCCGTTGTTTTAATAATCTATGGTGGGAAATGAAATTCCAAAAAATTAAACAGTCGCCTGATTCATCTCCTTATTCTCCTTCTAAAAACACCCTCTAACAAAAAACCGTAATAATCCTTGTTCACCTGATTCATCTCCATCTTCTCCTTCTAAAATCCTCAAACAAAAAACCCTAATAATCCTTTTGAAGCAACCCTCTTCCTCTACGTCTGCTCTCTCTCTCTCTCTCTCTCTCTCTCTCTCTCTCTCTTGCAAAACCCTAATCACCCTTTTGGTTTTCTGATCTAGGTTCATCCGCTCTTGCCTTCGCTCCTATCGGACCACCATAGTCCCCCACCAGATCGCTAAAACAATAGCCACCGATGCACCACTTCACCCTTCTGGTTCGTTATCCCCCTCCCTTAATGTCTGCGATCGACAATGGAGATGATGGCAAATACTACTACTCCATTACTCACATGTCGATATTTCATATCTGTAAACCCGATATAGAGATTTTTGGGTCCGATTTTTGGGGATTACAATATCACTCATCTCTCTTCTCCGCTACCGTCGCCGACCCACGCGCCTTCCGATTTTGTCTTAAATTTTTTAAAGAGAAATGCATTGAGGTCAACTTTAAGGGTGTTTATGTGACAACCGATCCACATATTGATGTGTGTTCTACCTCTATTTCATCCAGGTATACATCGATCTCCATCGATATCTCCTCCAGGTGCTCTTGTATTTTGATTTTGATTTCATTTGGTCTTTCTTTTCTTTTGCTTTTGAATTATTTTGATTTTCTATTGTCTCGGTCTTCCCTCTTTTCTTTTGATCATCTCCTCTTTGAAATTCCTACCACTCTGCGGCCGTATCGGAGGAGAGGGCGAGCGCGAGATGGAGAGTGACAGTTGCAGAGACCCTAATGGCATTCCGAACCCGAAAGAAAAAGAAAACCCAAAAAATTCGAATGCCAAGCCAAAAGTAGTAGTGATAATGGGAGCAACAGGTTCTGGAAAATCTCGTCTCGCCATTGACCTAACTTCACTATTCCCTATCGAAATCATTAACGCCGATTCCATGCAGGTTTGAACACAAGCACACAAGTACGAACATATATGTATTGGTATTACCTAATTTGTTCTTGTCTCGTAAATTTTTTTATTAGGTGTACGAAGGATTGGATGTTCTCACTAATAAAGTTCCACTTGACGACCAGAAAGTTTCGGTTGATTTCTCGCATGAAAACAAATTGATTATGCATCCATATCATTTCAAAAGTCAATGTCTTCATTCTTTCTTCCTCAATGTATCATAACTAATCATCTGTGATTCTCTGTCTATGTAGGAGTGCCACACCATCTCTTGGGTACAATCATCCCTATGGTCGAGTTCACTGCAAAGGATTTTTTGGTATTCCTTGTTCTCCATACTAAGTAAATTCATAAGTAATATTTTAAAGGAATAAAGCTTTAGATCCTAATGAAGATACTAAGTAAATATATACATTGCTTGGGATTTCTCCATACTACAAGGGAAATAAGCATGATAATCATGAACTTATTTGGATGTTTCAAAACAGTCCTTGGATTTTTTGTAAATTAAGCAACAGTCCCTGTACTTTCACTTTTTACATAATGGGCCCAAACTTTTTTGGAAGCTGTGGAATGACCTATGGATTTTGCATAAAAGTGTCAATTTCTCTTAAGATTAGTAGATGATTATTGACCTTTTGTGTAAATTCTAAAATAGCTCAAATTCTTTAAAACTAAGAAATCTTTAAGAAACAGAAGGAAAAAGGTCAAAGATTGGGAAAAAATGTCTATTTCTGTGGATATGATATGACAATGTAGAAAGTATACCTATCTTGTTACAGGACATTAGGTTTTGTGTGGAGCACACAAGTTCTACTAGACAGAAAACAGTAAGTTCATCTCTTATAATTTTTTATTTTTCTCATTATGTAATGTTTAAATAAATAATGTTTAAAACTTTTTGGAGAAAATAAACACTTTATATATAATATATAACTTACTGGATTAAGTCATACTTTCTGTTTTTGTTTTCATATAGCTTATCTTGCCCTACAGTTGATACGAGTCTAAGCAAGTAAGTAACATCTTCCTGCAAGTTTTATAATTTCCATCTAAACCAAAAGTAAATTCAGAGGGTAAAAATGTCTTTTTGCAGGGTAATTTCTGCACAGTCATGGCTGGCAACTACACACTTGTATGGGACAATTCGTATTCAACCTTTTTCAAGAAGGTTGGTTGTTTGATTCTGCTGAAAATGACTTCTTGGAACATTTTTTCTCTTGTGTGCTCAAAAGACCTGAATACCCTTATCATTGTTATCATCTATAATGTAGTTAATGTTGTTAGATGTGTAAAAACAGGCTCTTCGCTACAAAGTGGATTGTATTCCACCTGTTGTAGAACCATTGCCCTCAATTGAATCGGAAGATGGAGATGGGATAATTTGTTGTGTAAACTATCTAACTATGTTATTAATGATTTATCCTTGTAAAAATCGTTGTTTCATTGCACTAAGTAAATTCATAAGGGATTCCTTGGGTACAAAAAATCCAAGGACTATTTTAAAACATTACTTAGTATCTTCATAAGGATCTAAAGCTTACAGAAATTTCAATCTCTAAATTTAGTGTAACTTGTAGTTTTTTTCCTTGTTCTCCTTGCTGTTTTCAGGCACTTGTGAGTCGATTTCTTTTAGATGATTCACCTGTGGATACTGAGGAAATCAACCTAGATGAAACATATGGTAAACAACATTTTTCTACTTCAAATTCTTGTGCACTCTTTTAACAAGTAGACATGACATTTCTGAACAAACCCTTTTTATGAACAGGAGATAAACAACAACCTAATGAACTTATGCAAGAACAAGAGAATTTTAGCTATAGTTATGATAATCTTAAAGATCTTGATCCAGTTGCAGCAAATAGAATTCATCCAAATGACCATAGAAAGGTAGGCGGTATTATCCTTCCAAAATTGTAATGTCCTTAATTTTGCAAATTTTTTCATACACTTTTAATATAAATGAATATTTGCAGATTAATCAATACCTTCATTTATATGCTTCATCAGGTGTTCTTCCTAGCAAATATCTTTAGGAAAAGACTATGGAGGTTGGTATCTCATATTCTTCCAAAACAATACTTGAATAATCCAAACAAGTTAACTACATGAAATAGCAACATACTTTCATTGATTTGTTTATTATATCATTATCATTAAAATACAAATTGAAAGTAGAATGCTATTTTTTGCAATTATTTACTTTACTGAGTTATAATCTTGTATATGTCAGAACAGAACTGGGGAAATGTAGATAATTTGAGATACAATTGTTGTTTTTTATGTTTGGACGCTTCTCTCCCTGTTATAGACAAATATGTGGACAAAAGGGTATAGAAGTTAATGTAGTTTTTAATTTCAAATTAAGCTAGAATCCTAATTCAATTCTGTTTCAGTTATAATTTTACTATGTAGGATCTGGATGGGAGAAATATCAGTTATGTTTGAATAGAACATTGTTGATGTTCGAAATCTAAATTGCAAACTTATCAGATTTGTAAATTGTTTCCACCTGTTCGAAGTAAAATACTTTTATGGTTTATTAAGGGTTTTTTTGGGTTATTCATGTTTATCCATTTTTTCTGCAACATGTCACTACAGTCAAGTGTTTGAGCAAGCTGGTAGAGATCCAGGGGTAGCTTTTCACAAGCAAGGGGATGCATTAGATGATTCAACAAAAAGATGGTAAGTTCAATACTTGGTTGTTAAATGTTAACATAATAAAGCAAAATCAAACATGGTTCTGTAACTTTTGTTCATATTAATTTTTTTTTAACTATGATTACTTCATGGATGCACTATGTGGTCCTGATGGTGAACTTCCAGAGAATTTAAGGAATTTAGAGCCTCGCCTTATTGAGCACATTAGTAATGAGCCTCTTCTTATTCAGAAGCCTTATGCTATAGTTATTTTACAAGAGCAATGGCCATTTATGTAATTTTATCAGTGCCTAAATCTTGTATCAAAATGCAGATTGTACAATTGACAACATTCGGAAAATTTCAGGAAGCTTTGGCATTGTTTAAGCTACTTGCACCAGAAGATTCAAACCTTCGAGCCTTATAGTTGCAGTCAATTCATATCAGGTAATATTTATGGACCTGAGAAGTTTTTTTGGATATGAGTGGTAAAGTTTACTTATCAAAAGATTCATCTGGTATGTCAGATGACATGGAAACTTCTTCACCTTCTCATACACTGAAGAGGTTATATCAGATGTTGTTGGACACACCCATGAAAGCAATCGATCCAAAAGATCAAACAAGGTAACAATTTAACATTATTTAGAGTGAAGAGTATTAAAATTTTTGATTTTTTTTAAATTTTCAAGGGAGAGTCAACATGCCCCTTGACTCAGGTGCTAGAGAGATGGCATCAATATTAGAGAGATGGGATCTCTGGGAATCTTCAAAATGAAATGGTATGTTACTCTTTGATAATAGCATCAATATACGTATACCCTCATTGTATGGAAAATGTTTTTTTTAAAGATTTTTGTGTTTTTTTATATCACTTGGTATGATCAAGCAGTTTAACATCAATACACAAGACAACACTTGGTAAGTACAAGTTTTTTTTGTCACTGTTTCTCATAATTTGTGTTGTTTTTATGATGGTTGACAATTATGGTTATGTTTTCACACAGATCATGTTTGATGATGATGTGATGGTGGTTCCTGATTTGGTGAAAGTTGATTCATTTATCTTAATCCCTTTACATGTTCCATTAGTTAGAGAAATTATTTGTATACACTATTTTTTGTATAATGAGATTATTGAATGTCAGTTTAAATGTTAATACATTTATCATATGAAATGAATTGTTTTCTTATTATTTGTATATGATTGTATTTTTTGTATATGTTATTTTATTTTCTATTATGAGACATAAAATGCAAATTTAATTTGAAAATAAGGAAATCTATAAATAATTTTAAAAAAAAAAATTACGATACGCTTAAATGTGTGTCATCTTCATTTATGACATGGCCTTTCTTGAGAGCGGCTTTAATGATACGCATTGCGTGTCATAAATGCGTGTCGTCTATAGATGGCGCGCAAAAGCGCGTCGTCTCTCGTTATGACAAGGCCTTTCTTGACGCGCATTTTCGTGTCGTCTGAGCGTTTTACGATGCGCAATGAGCGTCGTAAAAGGCCTTTTTTTTCTAGTAGTGTGTGTGTGTCTATATATATATATATATATATATATATATATATATATATATATATATATATATATATGGTGGTGCGTACTTTCCTTACTATGAACTGTTATGATACTGAATATGACGTCCTCCGCCCCCCAACGTTTCCGTCGTTCTGGTTTGGGGGTGTGACAAAGGAGTTGATGATGCAACTTCAGGAGTTATTGGACAAAGGTTTCATTAGACCTAGTTCATCGCCCTGGGGAGATTTGGTTTTATTTGTAAAGAAGAAGGACGGGAGCATGAGAATGTGCATCGATTACAGAGAGCTGAACAAGGCAACAATAAAGAATAGATATCCGTTGTCGAGGATTGATGACCTGTTCGATCAACTTCAAGGCTCAAGTTATTTTTCAAAGATCGATCTGAGGTCAATATATCATCAGCTGAATGTGAAAGAGCAGGATATAGAGAAGACTTCATTCAGAACGCAATATGGACACTACGATTTCTTGGTTATGTTGTTTGGACTAACCAATGCTCCAACAACATTCATGGATTTAATGAACAGGGTTTGTAATCCGTTCCTTGATAAATCTGTGATAGTGTTCATAGATGACATTCTGATTTACTCGAAAAGCCAAGAGGAGCATAGTAGACACTTGCGAGAAGTGTTGGAAGTCTTGAAGAAGGAGAAGTGTTGGAAGTCTCCAAATGTGATTTTTGGATTCGAGAAGTCCAATTCTTAGGTCATGTGGTTAACCAAGAAAGGATAATGGTTGATCCAACAAAGATTGAAGCTGTGATCAAGTGGGAACATCCGAAAAGTCCCACGGAGATCCGAAGCTTTTTGGGATTAGCTGGTTATTACCGAAGGTTTATCCAAGGTTTTTCTTCGATCGCTAGTCCATTAAAACCTTTGGCCCACAAAGGAGCCGTTTATGCATGGAGTGATAAGAATAAAGAAACATTCGAGTTGCTAAAGAAGAAGCTATGTGGGGCGCCGATTTTATCTCTACTCGATGGAGTTGAAGACTTCACTGTCTATAGCGATGCGTCTGGGGTTGGATTCGGTTGTGTTTTGACCGAAAGAGAAAAGGTGATCGCATATGCGTCTCGACAGTTGAAAGAGCATGAAAAGAACTACCCGACTCACGATTTGGAGCTGGTAGTGGTAGTTTTCGCTCTGAAGATATGAAGGCATTACCTCTATGGCATGAAGTGCAAACTTTTCACTGATCATAAGAGTCTCCAATATCTCTTTAGTAAAAAATAATGGAATATGAGGCAGCGATGCTGGCTAGAGTTACTTAAGGACTACGACTGTGAGATACTTTACCATGCCGGTAAAGCAAACGTTGTCGCTGATGCTCTCAGTCGGAAAGTCAATCTTGAAAGAAAAAGGCTAAGAGCGTTGAGAATAGAAGTTGTCTCGATAATTGTGGAGAGTATAAAGAAAGCTCAAGAAGAAGCTTCTGAGAAGAATGACCGAAAGGAGGAGCGTTTAGGAAAAACGTTGGTGTTTGGTATAAACGGTCATAGACTGAAGGTATTCCAAGATCGTATTTGGGTACCTAAGTCAGGAGAAATAAGAGATCTTATGATGGAAGAAGCTCACAAAACCATGCACTCAATTCATCCTGGTAGCACTAAAATGTATAGGGACCTGAAAACCTATTATTGGTGGCCGATGATGAAGCTTGATATTGCAAAGTACATGGAGGAGTGTATGACATGTGCGCTGGTCAAGGCACAATATCAGAAACCATACGTGAGTTTAGAACCTTTACCTGTGCCTATAGGTAAATGGGATGACATTGCTATGGATTTTGTCACTTAACTGCCTAGAACAAAGAATGGTCACGACATGATTTGGGTAGTCGTTGATCACTTCACTAAGGGTGCTCATTTCATAGCAGCCAATGAGAAATGGTCTATGGATAAGCTTGCGAATTATTACGTGAAGGAAATTTTGAGGATTCACGGTCTTCCATTAACGATTGTGTCAGATCGTGACAGCCATTTAACCTCGCAATTTTGGAGAAGTCTACAAGAGGAATTGGGTACCAAGTTGTATTTGAGTACAGCTTACCATCCACAGACTGATGGTCAGAGCGAATGAACGATACAAACGCTTGAAGATATGCTGAGAGCATGTACCCTGGAATTCCAAGGCAACTGGGATGAACATTTGCCTTTGGTAGAATTTTCCTACAATAATAGTTTCCACTCGAGCATTAAGATGGCACCTTATCAAGCTATGTACGAACAAAAATGTCGTACGACGTCTTGTTGGCTTAAGGCTGGGGAAAAGCAGTTTATGGGACCCGAGATAGTCCATCAAACTGCTGAAAAGTTGAAAATAATTAGGGAAAGAATGTTAGCAGCTCAGGATCGTCAAACGAGCTATGCTGACAACAAGCGAAGACCGGTGACTTTTGAAGTTAGAGATTCAATTTTGCTTAAAGTCTCGCCATGGAAGGGACTTATAAGATTTTGAAAAAGGGGGAAAGTTAAGTCCAAGGTTTATTGGACCGTATAAAGTTCTTCAGAGGATTGGGAATCAATCTTACAAGCTTTAATTACCCGAAGAACTGAATGGAATTCACAACACATTCCATGTGTGTCATTTGAGAAAGCTCACGGGAGAAGTTCCCGACATGATTCCACTTTCGGAGTTGTGAATCGATGAGAACAAAAGGTTAATTGAAGAACCAAAGGCAATCGTTGACCGAAAGACTAAGAAGTTGCGATGCAAGATGATCGAATTTGTGCTTGTCTAATGGAAACATACGAATGGGCCAAATCTCACTTAGGAAATGGAGAGTGACATGATGAGTCGCTATCCGCATTTGTTTATGATGTGTGATTCCGGGGACGGAATCATTCT